CTTAATCTTATTATCCTTAATTATCTTTTTATTACTAAGAATAATTATATATCTTAGCTAAGAACTTAGATCTTTATTATTAGTAAATAATTTATTAATAAAAATAAATAACTTAGTATTTCTAAGGTTAATAGGGATATATTATAAACCTCTTTCTAAATTTTTTATTTATTAGTTAATTTATTAAGCTAGTTTTTTAAAATTATTATCTAATAGCTCCTAATACTAGGTAGTAATAAATAAATTAAATATAGTTTTTAGTTAGTAAATACTTATAATATATACTCCTTAAGCCTTTTATTAGATATATTCCTTTTTTATTATTAGAATTTAGAGGCTATTAGCTTAGCTTTTTTAGGTAATAGTAATATTATTATTTTAATTAGCCTAAATTTAGTAGTTATTAAAGATTATTTCTTTTTCTTAAGTTAGGACCTTATAATTTTTAGCTATAAAAACTACCTTTTTAAGTTTAACTTACTTTTTTATTATAAAAGTATTATTACTTAATATAAGTATATTATCTATTTATAATCTAATAATATTAACTTTTATTAAATTTATAATAAAGAGGTATAGATTAAATATTAAAGTTATTATATTTAACTTTTTATAATAATACTTTAAATAAGTAATATATTAATATATACCTACTTCTAGAATTTTATATAAAGGCTATATAACTCTTATAATTATATTTTTTAGATATTTAGTTTATAAGATTAGTAGTAACTCTACTAGGATTATTTTTACTAGTAGTATTTTAGATTAAATATATACTTATTTAATATCTCTTAACTATAACTTAAAGCTACTTTCTAGTATTACTAGGGTAATAGTTATAATAAGTCTTTAACTTATTCTTTAAATTATTAGTACCTATATTAAAATACTAGTTTTATCTTTATTATTATAGTCTTAAATTATAAGTTATAACTTTTTATATTTTTAGCTAGTACCTTTATCTTTAATTTTATTAATAAATCTAGTTTTAAAGATTTATTAGTTATTATAAATTTAATAATTATAGATTTTAAAAATAAAAATGCCTTAAGTAAAGAAGCTATTAATTTTTATATTTACTAAAGCTTTAAAAGGGTTATTAGGTATTATAATTACTTTCTATTTATATAGTTAAATTACTAGATTATAATAAATTTATTTTTTTATTATTAAAAATATTATATATTATACTAGTAGGTATCCTTTATTTTCTCTCTTTAAGGTTCTTATTAAAATTTTTAATTACTTAGCCTTTATTATATTAGTATAAGTTATATTAGTTTTTTTATTAAATAAAAGCCTAAGCTCTTATCCCCTAAAGGAGGTACTTAGTAATTAACTTAAAGAAGAACTTATTATATTAAGTATTAGTCTATAAATAGGTTTTATTATTATTATTACCTTCTTTAATAAGAGTTTAAGCTTATTTCTTATAAAGAAGGTACTTAATAATTAAATTAAATATAAACTTATTATATTAAGTATTAGTATATAGATAGGTTTTATAATTACTAGTATCTTTATAGCTTCTTTTAAGAATAAAAATAAATAAATAATTATTAACTAAAATATTATTAGTTTTTTTAGAAGTTTAACTATATATTTCTTATTTTTTATATTAGTTATTTTATATAGATAAGTCTAGCTATTTTTTTCTTATTATACTAAGATATTTAATATTAGTAGTAGTCTATATAGTAGCTTTATATTTAGACTATTCTTTATACTAAGGGTATTATTAATCTAATATTTTACCTTAAGGCTTTTAACTTTAGTTATAACCTATTAAATAGTTATTTTATATTATATAATAGATAAGTAAGGTAAAGAATTCTTAGATATTCTAGGATAGGTATTAAAAACTAGTAAGGTTAGGACTAAGTTATCTAGGCTAGTTATATTATTAATAGCCTTAACTATAAGTTAAAGTTTTTAATTATTAGTTATTATAATTCTTAAATTTTTATTAATAATAATATAAGCCTTTTATAGTATACTATAATACTTTTTAACCTTATCTATATTATTATAGGCTTTAACTAAGACTAGTTAAACTTAGATATATAATTTCTTAGTATATTACCTAAATTCTAGAGATAAAAAATTTATTTTAGTATTATAGATAATCTATTTAAGTAGCCTAAGATATATATTAATCTAGTATTTTAAGATTATATTCTATATATTCTTTACCTTTTAGCCTTAAGGTTTAAGGAACTAGGTTACCTAGAAGGCTATTATTAAATTAATAATATAGAAGATAGGTTTATTATTAATAGAATAGATATTTATAATTATTTTATAATTAAATTTATAATTATCTTTAATACTAAATCTAAATTAGTTAGGTATTTTAGAATTAAGTTAGTAAGTACTATATAGCTTATTAATCTTTTTAAGAATAGATTAATTAAATTCTTTACTAGTTTATTATAAGATATTAGATAACCTATTAATTAATAGATAACTAAAGTATTAATAGATTTAGTAAAGTTCTTTTTTTATAAAGAAGAAGGTAATTAATTTCTTTATATTTAATATCTAAAAAGGATAGCCTTAATATCTAATTATAGATATTTTAACATCTCCCTAGATTAGTATATTTATTAAGTTATTATATTAAATTTATAGTTTATCTATATCTTTAATTAATATTAAGAAAGGGGTAGGTATTAAAATAACTTTAAAATTAATATTACTTAAGATTATTTTTAGCTATATAATACCTTATATTCTTATTAATTAGATACCTCTAAAACTAATAACTTTACTAGGGGTATCTTTAATCTTAAGTATTAAGATAATTTTTATTAAAGCCTTAACTTAAGGGAGACTAATATTAGAAATTCTAGTAGCTCTTATATCTAAGATAATTTTATAAAATTCTTAGTTTATATACCTCTTTTTATATAAAAATACTCTATTTTTAAGATTATTATCTTTCTTAATAATATTATCCTCTCCTATAAAGAAATAATAAACTATTTTATTTACTAAGATATTAATAACTTCCTTAGGTAATAGTATAATATTTATTATTATAAAGTAATTTATAATAAAGTATAAAGAATAGAAGACTTTATCTTTATTATTATCTTTATTATTATTTACCTAATAACTAAATATCTAGAAAGTATTAATTTCTTTTTATTTATTATTATAGTTATCTTCTTAGTTATTATAATAATTATTATTATAGTCTTTATTATTAAAGGTACCCTTAAATTAACTAAAGAAAGATTAATAATATATTTTTATTAATTTTATTAGATAACTCTAGTTAAACTATTTCTTCTTAGCCTTATCTTATTTATTTTAAAGATATTTAATTAACTAATATCCTTCCTTCTAGTATATAAAATACTTCTTAATTAGCTTACCTTAATAATAGTTATTTCTTTTTTTAGTTAGTTTTCTAACTATTAGTTAGTAATAAGAGAAGTTACTTTAGCCTTTTCCTAGATAGTTTCTATTCTAGTAGAAAGAATAATTAATATATTATACCTTATTAAATAATTATTATAACTACTTATTAATAGTAATTATTT